GTGGAGTCATCTGTATAGTTACCACATTAGCAAAAATTTGCTGAATATTTGGCAGATAGCTTATGAAGATCTTCTAGAAAATGTCATAAAGAAATTGAATTTTGCATGTGTTTCACTGGTTTTTTAAAATTATTCTGTTTAGAACCTTCAGGATGTTGGAATCTGACTCATTTTCCCTTCATGTCTTGAGCAAAATAAACATCTTCTACTATTCTGTGTTGTTCGACCTATATACAGTGCTGGGTAAGTAAATAGTAAACTTGAGATGTGGAGAATTCTGCCAAATAATATCTTGAGAATTTTGATAATAGAATAATTTAGAATCTTGAGAGTATAACAAATAGCACAAAGATCCTTCATAAGGAGACATGGCTTTGGCACATAAAGTTCTTTCATAACATGTTTAAGAACATTTAGTTGACACCATGTTAACTTAAGGGTGCTGAGGAGACTGTTAAAGAATAGTATTGTGTGAGAAACCTAATAGAAGATAGAAGTTCAGTTGAATGCCACATCCTCAGAGCAGCCTTCTTTGACTACCTTAAAGTTGTATCCTGTATTTGATCACACTTCCTATTTTCCATTATTACCTTTATTATAATTTATAATTATCTTCTGTGTTTATTATCTATTTCTTCATTAAAACATCCCTTGCTACTACATACTCAAATTTTCAAGAAAAAAATAAAATAAAAAAATAATAAAAAAAGAATATTAATACCTACACCTATAACTATATATTATAAGACATCCATTGCTAGCAGAGCAAGTGGCATAAACCTGTATTTGGCAACTAAGGCCAGAGTATTGCTTGAGCCCAAGAATTTGAGTCATGCCTGGGCAACATAGCAAGATCCCAGTCTCAGTAAAAAAAAATCCATTGGCATTCTATCTGTCTTATTCACCTCTATGTCTAGCACTAAACAAATGCTTGGTATATAGTTCATTGAATATTTACTGATGTGTGGCTCTTAAAAACTCAGCTTAAAAAGAGAGAAACTGAGATGAGCAATAAATTCAGACATATCTTAACTCTTCTGTTGTATTAATTATCATATCCAGTATAATCATGTGCCACATAAAGGCATTTAGGTCAATGACAGACCACATATACAACAGTGGTCCCATAAGATTATAGTGGAACTGGATGTGTGCAGTTGGCTATACCATCTAGGTTTTTGTAAGTACATTCTATGATGTTCACACAAGGACAAAGTTGTCTAATGACACATTTCTCAGAAAGTATCCCTGTCCTTAAGTGATGCATGACTGTACTTATAGTCCCTTAGCCACTTATGGAAGTGAAATCATTACAAGTCTTTTTTAGGATTTTTTGCTCATGTTTCTTAGTGACTAAAAGTCAATTCATAGTAGATTAACCTATTTGTTACCTAGTCTTATCTTTGTCTTGCACTTTTATTCTACCTTTGCACTTTGCTCATTAGTAACTCCCACCAGAGAACAAGTTAAAAATATGACACTTTACAATTCTGTGTAAGCTATGGCAGATTCCCTTTGGAGGCAAATTCTCTTGTGAGAAGATAAGTTGAAGCTGTTTTTGACACTTGTCTTACACTAAGAGACAAAGCAAGTGATTTGGATCCTGGGATGTAAAAAACAAAACAAAACAAAAAACATTAAGAGGGCAGAAGTTACTTGATTTGAAAAGTTGAAACCTGAAGGGAAAACACTTTTTTAGATTAATATGTCTTTAATCGAGTTTATATAATGTAAATCTAAGAAAATTGCCTATGATTTCTTAAAGCTAAACTCTACTCTTGCCAGCAAACCATAGTATTTGCATTAGAGAAGAGAAGTCTGTCTTTTTTCACTCTTGACAAACACTTGACACTCTTACAGAAACCTGCACACTGAGCAGAGATGGTAAATGAGGAGAGAAAATAGAGAGTGATTATGTAGTTGATGTACAAAGTAATGACTGTGGGTCATCAAGAGAAGGTTAAAATTTTTCGGGGAAAAGAATAAAAATAAAAAATAATCAAAAAATACACTCATTATATTAATGAGAAAGAGAAGTACTTGAGTGCATTTTAGAAAAATTTCTATCAAAAAGTAGTTGAAGTTTTATTGCTTTAAGGAGTCATCTGGAAAATGTCAGTCATCTGGAAAATTACCTTCTGTGGAATACCTCTTTGCTTCTTAAAGGAAATGTTAATACATTATATGGAGGTTATTACTGCAACAGAATCTTAAAAATGTAATGTGCTCCCATTTGTTTTTAGAATCTATAAGTTACATATCTATTCCAGGTATAGTGTGTACTAAGATGATTTTATAATTCAGAAAAATATGGAGCAAAGGAGCAAATAATTGGTTAGCTAGGATATCAGGTACAATATAGAGATTAGCAAAGAAGAAAAGCTATAAAATAAAATGCTTATAGATGACTAGCCTCATATCACTTCATTATTTCTATAAATGTATCTCATGATGTCATAGTGTCATAGTTATTTAATCTTCTCCATTTCTGTCCATTGCCTCTTTTAGGACCATGGTTTTTTGGTGAAATCATTGATGGTAAATTGGGTTGCTTCTTTTCCTTTGGGATGTTTGTTAATGAACATTTCCTACAAGGCGGCCTAACATTTGTAGCAGGAATTCTCCAGGTAAGAAATCAGAAATGCAACTTAAGAACATCTTGGCCTTGTTGGACTAATTGCATAACAGTTATGAATTAAATCCAAAATCCCAAATTAAATACCATAAATCATCTTTTCTACTTTATTTATAGAGCAGTCTTTAATAATTGATGTTTCATTTGTTTTTAAAGTGTTTCCTAAACTCCTTTCTCCACCATTCTTATATACACAAACAAACATTTTTGGCATGCAGGATTTATAAGAAGTGAAAGAAGTTTTGTTTTATTGTGCTTTTTCATTGACAAAAATGGAATAAGGGATTTATGATAGAATAAATGTTAGACTTCTGGGTAAAACAAAACTGATTATAATAATGAAGAAGGAAAATGTTTCAGAGGGAGGAAAAGAAAAAATAGACATACAAGAAAAGTGGGTCAGTTATGCAGTGGAAACTGTACTAGGCAAAAACCAGACCTGGGCTTTCCAGTGATATCTTAGTAGTATGCTTGTTTAGGAAACACTGGTGTATTAGGTTTACATTTGATTTCTTTATAACAAACACACAAAGAATCCTAATCCATAGCAAAACTCTATAACCAGATTTGAAAAGTATTTACCTAACAATTTATTTATTTTACTCACCTAATGGGGCTAGTGGACTAAACTCTGAGGTCATAATTTGAAGTTTTAGAAGAGAGCCAAAAACATTGTTCAAAATGAGTTCAAGGCCTCCTAAAAGGGCAATAAAACAGGATCCAGCAGGATTAGGGACAACTAAGTAGGGAAGACCTTTGCCTAGCAAACATTGACTCAAGTCCAGAACATTCTCTGCATAGCAGCATATGGATGTGACTGGGTCCAGTTCCGTTTTCTATTATGTAGACAGATGCTGTCTCTAAGGAACACTCATTTATACCAAGTGAAACCTGAGCCTTGCCAAAAGGCAATTTTCTTTGTAAATGTTTACATTCATATTTTAATAAGTAGTACACTAATGTTAGATTTTATATATATTAGATATGGGAGGCACATGACTCCCAAATCTGTATCTCTGACCCAGACCTCTTCTCTGTACTTCAAGGACCTGTATATTTTAACTGCCATGAGATGTCTAACAGGCACCTCAACTTAATGTTTCTTTCTAATAAGAACTTTATTTCCACCCCAAACCTGTTCATCCCCCAGTTCTTTCCAATTTTAATAAATGACTCCACCATTTACCCAGTTTCTCCAGGATGTATCCTCAAGTCTTCCCTTTCCCTCATACCCTATATCTATTTTATCAGAAAGCTGTGCCTCCTGTGATCTTCCTCCAATACATATCTTGAATCCATCAGTTACCACCACCCTAGTCTAAGTCATAATTATTTCTTGTTTGGGTCTTCTGACTGCTATTCTTGCCTCCCTGTCAATTTACTGCAGAGCATCCCATGTGGTCTTTCTAAAACCTTAATCAGCTCACTCACTTCTCAGCTTGAAACCCTTTAAGCAGAGCAGAGTAATGATCTGTGTCCTGCTGACTGCCCCAATTTCCACCTTGGCTTATTATGCTCTGGGCACATTGCCTTAAAGAGGCCAAGACTTATCCCATCTCTGGCCTTTTAATTTGTTCTTTCTGCCTGGAATGCACTTCCCTCCACTGACTCATTTCTGTCCTTCTGGCCTCTCAGAGCCTATCTCCCTATGACCCTCTCATGATCCAGTTATTTCTTTCATTGAACTAATCACAATCTGTAATTATCTTTTTTGTTTATTTTTTGGGTCTTTCTTCTCCCTGTTAGAATGTAAACTCTGTGATGGCTCTTTTGTGACTTGTTCACCAGTGTGTCTCTAACTTAGAGCCTAGCACAGTGCGTGTCACATAATAGGTGCTCATTAAATATTTGTTGAATGACTATAGCAGCTTTACTTGGATTATAACTTAAACTTTCTCATTTATATTCTGGTACTTATCATGTTGCCACAAATAAAAATATAGAGATAAGGAAAAAAAGTATTGATAAACAATCCCCCCAACCCCACCAAAAAAAAAAGAGAGTATATATATGTGTGTGTGTGTATATATTTATTCAATTCAATTCCAACTTAAACACTGTTGGATATTTGCTGTGTATATGATACTGCTGGGGCTTCAACATAAATGATACCTACCTCTAAGATGAACACAAAAAGGACATGGGCAAATACACAACTAACTACAAGTCAACTGTTGTGTTATAGGCAAGTGTGATTGAAGCATAAAGAATCAGACAGCTAACCCCACGACAGAAAGCAACATATTCTTAGGAGCCATGAATAATGTGTTCATGAGATCTGACCCTCCAAGGGCTTGGTGGTAAACTAATGGTTCTGTTCTCATTTTTCCAGCTGGCATTTTTTAACATCCCCTTGATGGCTTACCTGTGTTGGAGCTTGTTGCATCGGTGCTTTGGTCATAACTTCAGGTCTCATCTCCATCAAGGAAAATACTTGAAAATTATACCTGTTCACCTGCTTATGCTGCTGCTGTACATCTGGCAGGTGCATTCCTGCTACTTTCTTTATGTGACATATGGCACCGTAGCTTTTTTATTTTCCCCTTTGCGGACCTGGTTGACATTGTTGACACCTGTTCTCATTCATCGTGTGTGGACACTGAACTCCACCAAGTTTGGAAACTTCATGGTGCAGTCAAAAACCACCTGAACTCCTGAAGGCTATGTTTCATCACTGGCAGTTGGGCAGAAGGCCAGCCTGTGCATCTGTAGCCCAGGCCCCTGCCTCAGTAGCAGGTAGAAGGCTACTATTGGAGGGTGAACTTCAGGGAGCTACTGCTCCTTGGATGCCTGGATGTTGGAGGGATTAACCACTACTGATTCCTGCAAAATGGACTGCAGAAAAGTCTTTAAATAATGCCTTGATTTTTTTCCTTCCCTAAGGAGGCAAAGGGTTGGATTTCCTTTGTGAAGAGAAAGCCCTAATCTAGGAGATCCATGGGGTAGGGGTTGGGGGTCTGTGTGTGGGAATATCTGAGGCCCAGTGTTTTTTTTAGGGTAATCCCACGTAAGGCACCTAGCGCCCTACCTGGAACTCAGCCGCTATCAAAGGGCGCAATTTTAGGGGCAGGGAACCTGTGTGGACTTGCATCTGACCCTGATTAACCTGTGAGATACTAGTTCCCAGGTATGTTTTCCCACAGTGTTATGGGCTCTTTGCTTCCTTAGTCGAGGGTGTTTTCAACGAATCAAATAAACGAATGAATGACGAATAATAAATATCATGGGCTTGAACCTTGTATGCTTGGCTGAGCCTCTAGGGCGAGAGGAAGCGTGGCCCGGCCTCTGAGAACTAGACAGATGGTGCTGGGCCTCTGAGGGCAGGGCTTCTGAGGACGGAAGGGGCGTGGCCGGATCTCTGGGGCGGGGCGGGACGGCTTGTTGCCGGAAACGAACCCCAGTCTATGGGGCCCGGAAGTGGAGCAGCTGCCGCAGTGCGGCTCTGAAAGCGGCGGTTGGTGGCGTCGGTCTGCGAGCTTTGGCGAGCGACTAAGATGGCGAGTCTGGCTCCGCCTTTGGAGCAGCTTCGGCACTTGGCGGTGGAGCTGCGGCTGCTCCTGCCTCGCGTGCGGGGTAAGCTGACGTAGCTGGGGCGGGCGACTGTCGGGGCGGGCTTGGGGTGGGGGAGAGGCCAGGCTGGGCCACCGGCAGGGAACCCGGGGCTGCGGGGGGGAGGGAGGAGGTGGCTCGGCTTACCTCAGCTTTTCCTTTTCCTACCTTTCGCCGCCCCCCACGCCACACCCACAAGTTGGCGAAGCCCGGGCGACCACCGAGGAATTTAATCAAGAGGTGTTTTGGAGAAGACTCAGTGAGTGCCTCTCCTGTTGGGGATCCCCATCCCTCACCTCTACCTGCGTCCCGACGCCTTTCCCTCTCCTCCCCCTCTCCTCCCCCATGGCGGTGACTGCCCCTGCCCCACGGCATTCTCTCTGGGGTACCTCACCTTACCCATTCTCAGCACCCGAGGAGTTAAAACTTGAAAGCATTGATAGTTGGAGATGTTTTTGAGACGTCTCGGGCGGGTAGGGGTGGAGAGGGAACACATTATCTTCCAAGTCCATGCAGCAGCTGCAGCCTCAGCCTTTTGGCATTAACATGTTGGCACCTGGCTCCTCCTCTGCCACCCCTCAGATGAGGCAGCTGTGAAAGTGTCAACGGAGGCCACGGCTCTGACCACAGTCTTCTCTCAACTTCCACTGCCGTCTCCACAGGTGGGCTTCACTTTCCTGGAATCCTTGTACTGCCTAGTTATTCGTTAGGAAACCCTCTTTTTCTTTCCACATTTTACACTTATGCCAGGAGATTTATTTTCCTCATCTGTCAAATGAGATTACAGTTCTCACCTCAGGAAACAAAATTGCCAAGCGCACTTCTCACACAGAGTAGGCAGGTTTCCTAAATATTGGTTCAATCTGAAGTTCACCCTGGTTATCTCCTATTGATCATTTTTTTAAAACACTTGGTATTTGCTAGGTGTTTTCACATACATGATGCCTCTCCCACAGATGAGGAAGCAGGTTAAGAGGCTCAGGTTAAGATTAAAAAGCAGTGGAGCTAGAACTCTGGTGTCTAAGCTACTCCTGTTCTATTATACTTCATAATACCCTTTTATATTGCATTATTATTTTTATTAGTAACATATATAGATAGTATAAAATTCAAAAGATATCAAACTTAAGTGTGCTAAAATGTTTATATTTTTCCACCCCAGTTCCTCATTTTTGTCTCCCTTTCCCAATTACTTTTCTTTTCTTTTTTTTTTTTTTGATACAGCCTCTGTTGCCTTGGCTAGAGGCTAGAGTGCAGTGGCATCATCATAGCTCATTGGAACCTCAAACTCCTGGGCTCAAGCAATCCTTCTGCCTCTGCCTCTTGGGTAGCTGGGACTACAGGCATGTACCACCACACCTGACTAGATTTTCTATTTTTTGTAGAGACAAGGATCTCGCTCTTGCTCAGGCTGCTCTCAAACTCTTGATCTCAAGCAGTCCTCTTGCCTCGGCCTCCCAGAGTGCTAGGATTACAGACATGAGCCACTGCACCTGGCCTCCCAATTCCTTTTTTACCATTCCATATGTAGTCTATACACACACATTCATGTGCATTTATTAATATGTGTATATGTCTGCTCATTTTTATACAAATGATAAGATACCATGAACACTCTTCTGGACCTTTCTTTTTAAAAAATTAACAATATGACTTGGAAATCAGTTCTTAGCAGCACATACAAAGTTGCTCAGTTCTTTGTAATCACTGCATGGTTTTCAATAGAGTGGATATAAACTTAATTTAACCAATACTATGTGGACATTTAAGCTGTTTCCAATTTATAATTATTGTAAACAGTGCTGTGGTGAATTGCTTAATACAGTCTTTATGTACCTGTATATATCAATAGAAAAAATTCCCAGAAGTGAAGTTCCTAGAACAAAGATTGTATGTATTTTTAATCTTTATTATAAAACTAATGAAAATAAACATGTTTGCTGTAATCAGGTGTGCTCTATGCTGTTTTTCTAGAGCTGTATATCCTTAATTTTGGAGTAAGATTATTTTAAAATTTAATTGCTTTATTTGATTTTCATAGTCAATAGTTTCAGTCTCTTTCTCAAATCTATATATCTAGATGTTTTAAAATGATATAAATATAAATATCCTTTTGCTGCATACACCTACAATGATAAACTCTCTCCCCTACACACCTTAGAGATTTGTGATGAGGAAATGAGATCACCTGTATGAGAGTACTTTAAAAGATTTATGGGCCAGGCGCGGTGGCTCACGCCTGTAATCCTAGCACTCTGGGAGGCCCAGGCGGGCACAGGCGGATTGCTCGAGGTCAGGAGTTCGAAACCAGCCTGAGCAAGAGCGAGACCCCATCTCTACTATAAAAAATAGAAAGCAATTAATTGGCCAACTAATATATATACAAAAAAAGTTAGCCGGGCATGGTGGCAAATGCCTGTAGTCTCAGCTACTTGGGAGGCTGAGGCAGGAGGATTGCTTGAGCCAGGAGTTTGAGGTTGCTGTGAGCTAGGCAGACGCCATGGCATTCACTCTAGCCTGGGCAACAAAGCGAGACTCTGTCTCAAAAAAAAAAAAAAAAAGATTTATGGATTCACATGCTGCGTTTGCACTAAATAAAAAAACAGATTTATGGAAAAAAGTCTATTTCAAAAAGAGTAGTAATATTACCTTATTTTTCTTACCTGCTGACTCTTTCGAAAACACTTAGGACTCACTAAAACTCATAGTGAATGAGATACCATGAGGAGGCAGATAGAACTACTTTTCTGTACATGCTCAGGACAGTAGTTTCATTCATAAATGAAAAATTAGAAGTTTGATTTATTTGAAATATAGATATATAAATATATATTCAAATATATTTATTCATGTATTTATTCATTTTAAACATGTAAAAATATATATTCAAATATATACAACTGCCTTCTTAGGATCTCAGCACTTTAGTCCTGCTAAAGGATGGTGTTTTTTAATTCCAATCTGTATGGACTGATAAATGTTCTAATTTGATAAAATTATGTGTTGAGGCAATGTCAAATTGCCATAAAATTTTCTAAACACTTAATCACTGTACTTATCTCATTCCAGACTGGTAACAGTTTGTGGACTGGCACCAATCTGAACTACATTCTGCATAGCACTGGCTTAGGCTTTAGCAGAGAAATGAGGATAAGGAAAATGAAAAAGCCTGAGAAAGTCAGTGATGACTTAGAAGGAAAATAGTCAACACTGAGCATTGTTGAGTCCATGCTATTTACCTTTAGTTACATATTGTGATTATGTTACATAAGAGAGAGACCTGGTTAATGGTCTAATACAGAGGCTGGCAAACTTTTTCTGTAAAGGGCCAGTTAGTATATATTTCAGGTTTTGCAGGCCAGTTACCCAACTCAGCCCTTGTAGTGTGAATACAACTATAGATGATATATAAACCAGTGAGCAAGGCTATGTCCCAATAACACTTTATTTACAAAAACGGGCAGTAGGCCTGATTTGGCCTGTAGGCCATAGTTTGTCAACTCCTGGTCTAAGATAAGGTAAATACCTTATGGCAGACCAAGAATATCTTGGCATATAAAGTATCAGGAGTAAGTCTTTCCAGCTGTTTCTTAATGGTTTACTGAATTGTCAGCCCAATGTCTGGTGTTTAGCTAACTCCTCTCTGGTATATGATGAGTATAATAGAAGGCCTGACTCGTACTAGGACTCAGAAAAAGTTTGTGATGCTGTAGAGATGTCTGCTTTCTTCCATAGTAGATGGGTTGACCACATTGATCTAATCCATTTTCTTTTTTCATTCTGAAATTGGTCCATCACCTCAAAGGAAACCCAGAGGTTCTGTGGACAAGTCCATGCTGCTATCAAGGCAATTGTTGCAGTATACTACTCACTTCCGAAGGATCAGGGTAAGCTAATATGCTA